AGGGGCTGGTCCAGCAGGTGAGGGCCCAGGGCAGAAGGCCATGTCTGCAGCCACCCCCAGAGCACAGGAGAGGGCAGCCCGTATGTCCCAGCCATGCACTGGCCTCCTCCTGCAGCCTGGGTGATGAGGGGCCTCAGAGGCCCACGGGCAGTGGACCACCTGTCCATCTCAGTACTGTACTTGGCATCTCACTGGTAGGGCTGCAGCCTGACTGTGCTCAGTGTCCCACAGGAGGTGACACCGCATCTCCCCGGTGCCCACCTGGGGCCAGGTGCTTGCCTGCGGTTACTTCAGGGAATAAGCTGGACCCCTGAGATGTGCCCCTTTCTGTCCCTGGAGTCGAGCGGCGTCCGGGGGCTCGCTGCGGCTGGCTGGTGTCCTTGGGCAGGTCGCTGTCCTTCACCCGACCTCGGGCTTCTCATCTGGAATTGGGTGTGGGTAGCGTGGGCTTGTGGTTTTCAGACAGTTCTGGGGAGAGGTTGGAGTTGCCTCTTGGGGCTTCTGGAAGGTGGGAAGAAGGGAGAGCTGGGCGGCTGGCCCCCTCCACTCCCAGCCGCCACGTACTTCAGCAGCTCCAGGCTCAGCTGGAGGTTTCAGCTGAAGAAGTGTCAGCAGCTTAAAAAAAAACTTGAAATACAGAGCTAGGGTTTCTCTGAGGCCCTTTCTGGAGAGGAAGCTGGAGTCTCCCCACCGGCTGCAGGATTGCCCCCCACCCTTTGTCAGGGCTCCTGTTGTCCTGGACTGGGTTCCCTTCAGGCGGTGGACGGGCCACAGAGCCTGCTGCAATTCTGGTTCCCTCCTTCCCCGGAGCCCCAGCCCCACCCCGATCCACTCCACAGGGCTTCGATCCCCTCTTCTCTGGAGTCAGGCAGGCCCGGGGGGCTGGTCCTGCCTCTGCCAGGACTCAAGGCTGTGTGACCTTGGGGAAGTTATTCAGTCTCTCTGGTAGTGTGACCTCCTAGGGTGATGGAAGATGGAAGGGATGCTATGTGGAAGGCTCTTTGCATAGGGCCCAGCAACAGGGCTCCGAAATGGAAGATAAACACACACACAGATAAGGTGAACAGATTAGTGGTTACTAGAGGAGAAGGGGGTGGGGGGAGGACAAAATGGGTAAAGGGGCGCATATGCATGGTGATGGATAGAAACTAAACTATTGGTGGTGGAAACGATGCAGTCTATACAGAAACTGAAGTATAATGTACACTTGAAATGTACACAGTGTTAAAAGCCAGTGAAATCTCAATTAAAATAAAATAAAATAGCCAATCAAATGAAAAAAACAATTTATGCACAGTCCAACTCCCTGGGGCCACCACCTGCTCTCACCTGGCACAAACCCTTGGCTGTCTCTCAGCCCGTTTCCTCCTTGAAAGGTACTTTCTGCCTTGAAATCAAACTCCTTATGCCCAGAGCAAGTCCCACATCCAGGGTCCCTGCACAGCTGTTCCCTCTGCGGGGAGTCCCGCTTCCTGTTGCCGCTGTGGAAACCCTGCTGACTCCTGGTGCCATGTGGACTCTGGGATGGCATTCCCTCTAACCCCTGCCTGGGCGGACGGTCAGCGCATTTGGCTCTGATGCCCTTATCGGGAGATGTTAGCACCCTGGACTCCGGGGCAGCGCGTCCCGACCCAGCAGGAGCGCTGAGCCTGCAGCGCCACCCAGGGGCGCCGGGAGTACCCGCACTATTGTGGGGCTGGTCGTGCTCCGTGCTGCCCCTGGTGGTGGCCGTGGGGAGTGCGCCCTCCCGTCTGCAAACTGGTTGCCTCGTAACTTGCTTCGACCCTTGGGGACGCCCCTTGGCTTCAAGCAGCCTCCCCCTCCCCCCGACCTTTCCTTCTGGAGTCCTTCCTTGGCGGGTCATCTTTGCCCCTGTCGCACTCTGTCCCTCATGCTGGTGCCTCTGGGGACAGGTCACCAACGCGCCCCTGAGCTGAGTTCCCCCTTCTCTGAAGGTTTCTTATGCAGTCACAGAACAAAGACTTAGGAAGCACGGACTGGGCTTGAAAAAAGGAGGGAGGGGCCTTGGGGGAACCTCTAAGAAACCCTGTGTCCTGCTTTGCGGTCTGCACGGTCTTGGGTTCAGAGGGAAAACAGAATTTCTGAGAAGCCATGACTGGTTTATTCATTCCTTCTATCAACCAGCTGGGCTGGCCCGAGGCAGATGGTGCAAAAAGATTCCCAGGAACCAGCCCCTGCTGTAATGTGACAGACAGACTCCCTTGTGACAGGACAAGTCTCAGATCTTTTACTGGGTTTTCCCACACATCCTCCCCGTCATGTGTCCTGGAGCACATGGCTGCCTCGGGCTCCATGGCCCTTTCCAAGCTCCGGGTACATGTCACTCATTCTTCTGGATACTTGCTCTTGACCCGGATGATTTGGAAGAAAGACCTCGATGCCTTCAAAACTCAAAGTAACGTACTCAGGATAGCAGAGGACAGCAGAGACATGAGCTGTCAATCCTGGCATGCGAGGTGGCCGCTGTTCTGCTGATGCACGAGCCAGTCTGGCTGGAACCGTAAATACACAGGCGTTCTGGACCTGGAGCCCACCTTCCACCTCCAGGCCTCAGTTTCTTCACAGATGGCTGTAGGCCGTCTCAGGCGTCAGACCAGGGGTCTTTGAGAGGCTGCATCCTGTCCAGAGAGGCACACCTCTCTGGGGATGGTGCAGCTGAAACAGCTGAGGAGTCTAGCTCAAGGTGCTGTCACATGCGGCGTGGAGGTCACCCCCAAGGGCAGTCCAAACCCAGCCTAGGTGGCTGCCACCTCTACCTGCCCTTTCTCACCAAACTCCTCCTCCCTCCTCCCAGTGGGCCAAGAGTCTTGTGTCCCGCTTGATGCCCAGGGAACTTGCCAGGCCACTGACCGCCTCTGGGGCTCCGGGTCCACATATGGCCCAGGCTGTTCTGCCGACCCCTCCTCTGGGCCGGGCGCCCTGCACACGTCCACACCACCCACCATGCTGATACCGTTTTATCGCGGTAGTGACCGCTGGTGAGTGAGCTCCTATCTCCTCCACAGGGACTAACCCCTTCACCGTCTCTGCCCGCTCGGGCCAGCTGTTGGGTCTCCTGAGAGCAGTCTGACATTTGGCATGATGGACGGGGGAACGCCCTGGTCTGGGTAACAGCCCTTCCCTTGCAGGGGGTGGAGATGGGCAGGCAGAGGGCTGGGTGAGGAGCAGGGATCTCGCGTGCATGGCCCGATCCAGCCACTGTCACCCAGTGATCTCAGGCCAGTCCTGTCCCCTCTGGTCTCGGCCTCCTCACCTGTGAATGGAAGCTTCAGGTCTTGGGATCGCTCAGGACATTGCTCTTCAGGGTGTCACAACTTTGGCAGGGAGTGGGGATCAGAAACACATTATTCTGCGTGTTGGGCAAAAGCAGGGGGGCAGTTAGGGAGCAGGTGTGGGTGTCCCCAGCTGCTCGCCCCAAGGGGAATAGTTCAGGATAAGGCAGGAGTGGGGGGAGAAGTCACAGAGAAGATCCAGGTGCCCATCGACCTGGGCCGAGATTCACCTGGTGCCCTCAGGGCTGCAGCATCCACGTGGTCCATCAGTCCTTCCCATCATTCTTCTCCTCCCTGGGACCCTGGTTGTCCCTGGTGATGGGCCCTGGACTTCCAGCTGGCAGGGGTGGGGGCCTGTACCACACCATCCTAGGAGTCGGGTGCCAGGCCCAGCCCAGGTAGGAGGTGGAACACAGGCAGAGGTAAGAGGGATGGAAAGTATGTTCCCCCAAGGTCTTCTAGCCTCAGAGGGCTCTAATGGGTCCAAGAGGGCAAGGCCAAGGTTCTCACAGGGGTTGAGCGATGACAGCATCCTTGGAGCCCTGCAGCTCAGTCTCTTCACTGTACAAATGGGGAGACAGTGAGCGGCCCAGAGGGCTGAGAGGGCAAAGGGCTCACCCAAGGCCATTCAGGGAGCCAGGGGTGGGTCCCGGCCTCCTGGCTCATCAGGGCTTCTTCTGCCCTTCTAGGACCTTCTCCAGAGTCTCTGCGCCCACAGGGGATCACACACACCCTACCTGGCTCAGCTGGCTGTCCCTGCCAGCTACACTGAGGTCACAGGCAAAACCAGAGGGGGCCGAGGGTCTACTCCGGAGCCCTCCCCACCCCTGCTGGGAGGCGATGCAAGGCCAGGTGGGGAGCCGCTGAAGTGCTGGCCACCCTCAACCTCTTGGCCCTTCCCTGGCACACCTAGCTGGACCTGCCAGCTGAGCCAGGCCACAGGCGGGTGATCAGAGCAGCGTGGGGGCCAGCGGGAGGCAAACCGCACAAGGGCCTGGCCCATTCCTTTGGACTCTTCCCAGGTTGGGAGTCAGACAGAATGAGGACTCAGTCTCTGTGCCACTGCCTATGAACTGGTGACGCTGGGCTGGGATGGCACGGGCCTCCCCCCGAGGTTGTAGGGACCAAATGAGCCACTGCACAGGCACAGGGGCCACAAGATGGAAGCGTCGGTCTCCAGGGCTTTCCTCAGCCCCTTCTGAGATTCCCTTTGCCCTCAGGGCTCTGTGCACTGGCTGGGAAACAGGCAGAGGGGAGTCCAGCAGAAGCTGAGGCTGTGGGTGGGTGGACAGCTGGTCCCGGGATGAAGATGGTGAGAGACAGGGGAAATGAGGATGTAAGGAAGGCGGCCTGTGCCAGCCCCCCTTGCTGCCCTCCAGAGACCCTCTGGAAAGTCTCACATGGCTCTGGTGGTCTTTGGAGTTGGGTTTGCGTGAGCTGCTCCTTAGGAGGGAGGGGGGCCAATTTATCTGGGTCATTAGCCCCAAATTCCTGGCCTGGAGCACACTTCCAAGAAAGGGAGAGAAAGTTCTCTCACGAACAGAGGTAGCAGTGGGATCGGGGTGGATGACCCCAGGGGAGGGAGAAGAGAGAGGAAAAGGGCTCCCCGTGCCAAATCGTCACCAGACCCTGGATCCTGCTGCGAGGCCCCTTCCTCCGTCCCGACACCCACCCGGCATAAGCATGCAGAAGCACAAGGACAATGGCTGATGGAGGAAGTGAGAATAAAATTACTTCTTTTATTTCCAAAAAATGGAGAGATGGGGGAGCAACACAATAAAAATTAAGATCAGTTCCCTATGGATCCATCCTGCCTCTGGGGAGAGACAGCAGCTCCTGCTGTCATGTTCTCAGCTGGAGGGCCCAGGTTGCCATGGCAACCCAAAGTTCTGTCCGCTAGATGCTGGTCCCTCCTGGCTGGCCAGAGCTGGGGAGGGCCAGAAGCCCTCCCCCAAAAGGCCCCCACTCTGAGTTTATTCCTGCCCCGCCCTCCCCTGAAGTTAAATATTGATTAGTGGGTTAGATTTCAGAATGCGGCAACTCTGCCCCGCTCCCAGGGTGGCCTGCTCCCCTCCCTCCCCTCTCACTTTCCAATCCCCTCAGCCACCTGGCCTGCAGCCCCAAACTCCTCCTTGTCCCGGTTCCCACTTGGCCCTCATTAGGTCCCCCCACCCTCCACCCGATCCCCCGGCTCTTCAGGGTCACATCCTCTGGGACTCCCTACCTCTCGGCCCCCCTGGCCCTCCCGACAGTCAGGGCCACCGTGAGTGAGCCCAGCTCAGCCCACTGCAGAACCTGGGGGAGGCTGCGAGGGGCAGGTGGTAAAAGGCAGATTGTCACAAGGGCCAGCCCAGCTGCCACCCCCGTCGCATTGTATCGTGTAGCAAAAGATTAAAAAACAGTAAAAGACACAAGAGAGCGGAAGACAGCGAGAAAGGACGTCCACTGGCAGCCCCACCGTGGGGAGGGGCTGTGATGAGCCCGAGGGCCCAAGACTGCTCAGGCCCAGCGGCCAGGGACTGGCTGGCACTGCCTGGCAGGGAACGGAGCACTTTGGAGAAGGGTCCGATCGCTCCAGAATCTTAGGTCTCCCAGGCAGGACCAACAGCTGAACGAGGTGGCGGGCCAGGGCTGAGCCTGCCGATCGGCTGACCCCCTGACCTGGGCACTGCCTCTGCTGAACCCACCTACAGGACTGCTCCCTGGGATCCAAGGCCACTGGCTCTGGCGTCAGGAAGACGGCGGAAGGTGGTCAGATGGAGCTGCACAAACCCTGGGTCAGGGGGCTCCAGCGGGGCGAGGAGGACATTCCCTGGGCCCCAAGATCTGAGCTGCTGCACTGCAGGCGAAGGGACCCTGCAATCGGGGCTGGGGCCGTGGACATCTGACGAGAAAGTGGCGCCTGCGGGGAGGCCCCAAGTACCGACCTGGCGGTGGGAAGGACACTTTCCAACCAAGGGGTGGCCTGTGGGTGTCCATTGAAGGGTGGAGCTAGGCCTGCAGGCTCGGGGAGCCATCTTGCCCGAATAGGACAGGACCCAGCCTCACCGACCTCTGAGTAACTAAGGGAGAGAGGCGGGCAGCAAAGCCTGGAGGCTGGGCTGCCTGGGGAGCCATAGGCCGCTTCTGTGGACCTCTGGTCTGGCAGATGTTAGGGGCAGAGGGCGGAGGAGGGGTGGGGTCACCTCTCTATCTACTCCTGGGAGAAGGGGCTGGGAAGGGCAGGGAGAAGCCAGGCCGACAGATGGTGGGCCCCATGAGGAAGGGGGTTGGAGGGAGAAGTGAAGGGAAAAGGAGAGAAAACAGGAGAAAGACCAAAATTGAGGTCTGTGAGCTGACGCATACCCCCAGCCTCCCGGATACCCCTCAGAACAAACCCCACCCCTCCCTTGGCCATCACGCCTGCCTGCTCCCCCATCCCCCTGGGCACCCCAAGGGCTGCAGCTTCATTTGTGGAGGTAGGCGTCCAGCCACAGCTCCCCAGACTTCTTCAGGGACCTGAGAAAGAGAGGAGCGGGGATAGTCAGGAACCGGGAGGGTGGGCAAGGGAGGCCATGCTGGGGGCTGCCACAGTGTGGGGCCTGCAGGGCTGCTAGCTCAGGGCTCCCCAGGGGAACCCCCGGAAAGAACAAAAGGAAGGTCCCCATCCAGCCCAGAGAGAGAAGCCAGGCAATTCCCAGTAAGGGAGGTGGCCTGGTGGGGACGCCTGTGTCAGCAGGGCTCGGTCCCTCTTGGCACCGCCGCTGCCCTGTCTCTAGCATGCGCGGTCCCAGCTACATGCTTCCCAGTCCCTCCCCGTGCCCCAGGGACCCCGGCAACCCCGGCACCAGCGGACTGCCCGCTCTGACCTGATGATGTCCTGCAGGGCCCTCAGCAGCGGCTTCTCCTGGTACTCGATGCCATACTTGGCGCACAGAGACTTCACCAGGGGGGCGACCTTGTGGAAGTTGTGCCGGGGCATGGTGGGAAAGAGGCTGCAGAGAGCGTGTGCTGTGAGAGTGTGAAGACGCCCCCACCTCCTCTCTCGCCCACATGAGGCTGGCTGGGGCTCAGGGAGCCCCTGTCCGCAGCTCTGTCTGTGTGCCCACTGGGGTGGCTGGCATGTGGGGGGGGCGGGGGCGGACATGTCTGGGTGGGGGATGGTTCCTGGACAGGGGTGTTTGATTGTGCTCCGGGCAGCTGGAAAGAAACTAGATGGCCAGAGACACAATCTCATGTTTATCTAACAAGGAAATGAAATAGGGTGGGGCGTGGCGAGAAGAGGAGAGTGGGGGAGGGGATGCGGGGAGGGGGAAGATGGGGGCGAGGGGAGGGGATAGATGGGATCGAGGGGAAAAGGAGAGATGGGGGCGAGGGGGGGAGAAGGGGGCAAGGGGAGGGGAGAGATGGGGGAGGGGAGAGATGGGGGGAGGGGAGGGGGGAGAAGAGGGCAAGGGGAGGGGAGAGATGGGGGAGGGGAGAGATGGGGGAGGGGAGAGATGGGGCGAGGGGAAAAGGAACAGTGACAGGGGTGAGGAGAAGATGAGGGGCGCCAGGGGGGGTGGGGCTCTGGGGGGCAGTCCCTCAGCTATCTCTGTTCCAGGCAAGCTCTCTGACCTGGCTGGGCCTCAGTTTCCCTGTCAGTGAAAGGCTCAGTCCCCCCGCCCCGCCAGGCACACAGAGCCGCAAAGCTCGGGCTACACGTGAGGCGTGGTTGTCACTGTGGCCGTGTCGCACAGGGCTGGGGCGTGGAGAGAGAGAGGTGGCCCCCACGTGGTGGCCTCGGCCCAGATGGGGCTGGTGACCACTTCCCTCCCACAGTATGTGGCCCGCCTGTCCCCAGCCCGCCCGCGCCCCTACTCACTGGTGCTCGATCTGGAAGTTGAGGTGCCCGCTGAACCAGTCGTTGAAGAAGGACTGCTCCACGTTGCAGGTGGCTGCCAGCTGTGGAGGGGAGGGGCATGAGTGGCCGGGAGTAAAAGAAGGACGGGCCTTGTCTCCTTCCCAGGAGGCCCAGCCTTACATGGGGTCTCAGGACCACCCCTCTGTGTCATCCTGTCCTGCCCGGGGTCCTCAGCCCACCTAGACTCCCCACCCGTCCCTCCCAAAGATTCCCGCCACCGTTCCTTGCTCGTCCCCATGCCAACCAGCAGGAGGACACGAGCAGCCCAGGGCTGGGTCCACCGGGCAGCCACGTTTCTGGGGGCCGAGGACGTGGCCCGTGGGTCCAGGCTTCACAGGGCCCCAGTGCCCAGCTCTGCTGCCCTCACCTGGCTGCTGAACCAGTCTCGGTAGGGCTCGCGGTCAATCTCCATGACAATGTGATTCATTTGTGTGACCCACACAAACCAATGACTCTCCAGGAACCTGCAGGAGAGCACAGCTCAGCGCTCGGGCAGGCTTGTTCTCCGTGAGGCCCAGCCACGGTGGGGACAGACCCTCTCTCCCAACCCCGAGGGACCCGGGGCAGGGGCATGGCGCAACTGCAGCGCCTGCTGAGGTGGCAGGACGTGAGGCCCAAGGCGGGAAGTGGGCACCTCTGAGCCTTTTCTCACGGGGCCGTCACGTCCAAGCCCCCATCAAGGCTGGTGCTCAGCCCAGGGATTAACCAGCAAAGCTGGGGCACCTGATGAAGTTGAGGAAAATGATGGCTCCCAGGACGCCATAGAAAGGGATGTAAGTGATGAAGAATCGGGCATAGTAGCTGATGGCCCAGGCCAGGTCCTGCAGAGAGAAACAAGATTAGACGCGAGATGGCCCCACCCTCCTTGGCACTGCGCCCTGACCACAGGTGTGTACACAGCGCCTCACGTTCCCCGCCAGGTCCAAGAAAACCCCAACCGGCCTCTAGGAAGTTGGGCGCCAGGCCCACTCAGCACGCGGCGACACCTGCTCCCGCAGGGCGTGTGCGGCTGCCTTTGTTTCCAGGCTGAGTGTTTTAGCTGTGTGTGCTGCTCTCAGGCAAAGAAACAGGGACGGAGACCAGGAAAGGTGAGCCGAGGGCAGCCGGGCCTTTCGTGGCCCTGGGGATTCTGAAGGTGCGTACGCCACCTGCACACAGACCTGAGACCTGGCAGCTCACGAACTGCCCTTCAGCCTTATCCCCACTCATCAGCACCTGGGATGTCCTCCCTCGACTCTCACTCCAGCACGACATCACAGGCGAGCAAAGGCCAGGGACACCATCCGTCAGGGCCCTCCCAGTGACCTCTGACACTGCTGGCCCTCTTCCCATGCCCGATTCTCCTCCGGTCCCCTCTCTACTCTGCTTTCCCTTAATGCCCCTCCCGGGGGTGATGACAGACAGGGCCCTGAGCTGGCATGTCTTCTCTCACTTCCTGGGCAACTGCCTCCCCAGGCTGCCTCCGCAGCTCCACCCTCCACAGCAGCCTGGCAGGACTCTGCCACCAGAGTCCACGTGCCTCCGCTGGACCACAGCAGTAGCCTCCCATCGGCCTCCTGCTTTCCCTCAGGCCCCGATGGCAACCCGAGTGACCTTCTTAGCATGAAGCAGCCCCCCATCTCTCCCCACTAAGCCCTCCCACCCCTACCCTCCCCCATCTGCAGGACAGGGAGAGAACCCCCCACCAGGCTCTACACGGGTTGAACGCGTGTTACAATAATTGTAGCCTGTGAGTCTGAGCTCTATATGACTCCCATCCAGTCAGCGCACCACCTGCCACCATAGAGACCTTCCTGACATGTCAACGGGATCACGCCCCTGCCATCCTCAAGGCCATCACTGGCCTCCTTCCCCACCGAGCGGATAAAGGATAAAATTCAGCGCCCAGGGTTGGCCACATGGGCCCTTCGCACGCCTGCCCACAGACCCGGCCTCTTCTGCAGCCAGTCTCCCAACCCGCATGCACCCGGCCAGGCCGTGCTGTCTCGCTGCAGTGTCTGTGTCCAGGCTGGACGCCACCCCCCCCCCCCGCCCCCGGAGGGTCCTTCTGCCCTTATTGGCTCCGCAAACGCCTCCTTCAATCCAGCTCTGTTCAGTCAAGCTCTACAGACAGGCAGTGGATGCCTTCTCTATATTAGGGACTGAGTTATGGCAGCAAATGGAGGGCCTTCAAAAGACAGGCTTATAAAGAGATTCCTTCAGTATCATACGGAAGGGGCTGGATAGGGACAGGGGCGATGGCAATGACCCTGGGGTTTAGGAAAGGCCTCCATCAGGAGGTGGTGTCTGGGCTGGGCTGGGCTACACCAGAGGTCAGCCAAAGGACCTGTGCAGAAGAGGCAAGGCCATGGAGAAAAGCCCAGACAGCCGCGACTGCAGCGTGTGTGCTGGGGGAGGTGAGCAAGCGGGGGTTGTATTGACGTACAGATTCTACGTCCAAGAGCTCGAGGCGGGGGCGGGAGGCCGAAGCCAGGTCACCTCCACCTGGGGAGACTGACCTCTCTCTCTCAGGCCACGGGGAACCGCCAAGAGCTTTCAAGGATGAGGAACATGGTCACATTTGGATCTTAAAATAGATCTCTGCCAACTGGGGATGGAGATGAGGTTATTTCAGTAGCTCGGACACGAAAGGAGGCCGGAGGCCCAAACCAGGACCCCCAGCACCGACGAGGAGGCAACATTCCAGAACCATTTAGGAAGCACAGGCAGTTGCATCTGGGGACTGCTTGGCGGTGGGGAATCTAGCTTTGTCCCCGGCGTTGGCGCTATCAGCTGAGCAGGAAGGAGGAGGGGAGCAGCCAGGAAGAGGAGAGTCCGAAGGACCAGCCGTGGACCAAGGGCGAGACCTTGGGACCCACAAGGTGGTCTTGAAGGGGGCGGAAGAAGCAAACCTTACAAATTCTGCTCCTAGTTTTCATCACATTCCTTTTCCTGTCTCTCTTGTGTGCATGTAGGGCAGTAATGAGCACATACCTATTAAAGGGGGTGCCAGCTTATTTATTTATTTTTGTGCCTTAAAGTGATCCATAACCACAAACCTGTTTCAGGGGTAGGGAGTGAAGGAGACGCAGCGAAACAGTCAGAGAGGTGGAGGAGAGCCGGCGGAGGTGGCCCTGGGAAGCCGAGAGGCAGAATTTCAGAAGGGAGAGGTTAGTGGTGTCAGACAGAGCGGACCTCCTGGAAGGTGAGGCCTGGGAAGCATCCCCAGGATGTGGCCACCGGCACTGCTGCCAGGTGAGTAAAAACCTCCCTCCGCGGAGCTCGTGGAGGCCATCAACCCCTCTCCTCCAGGCCAGGGTTTCTCAACCGCCACATGATTGGCATTGCGGGCTGGATTATTCTTTGTTGTGGAGGCTGACCTGTGCGTGGTAGGATCCTCCCTGGCTAGATGCCCACTGGACACCAGTAGCACTGCATCCCCAGCCCCCGAGTTGCAACAATCAAAAACGTCTCCAGCTGGGGGCTGGCCCCGTGGCCAAGTGGTTAAATTCACGTGCTCTGCTCCCGTGGCCCAGGCAGGGTTCACCGGTTCAGATCCCAGGCATGGATCTAAGCACTGCTCATCAAGCCATGCTATGGCAGCGTCCCTCATAGAACTAGAATGATCTACAACTAGGATATACACTATGTACTGGGACTTTGGGGAGGGAAAAAAAAAAAAAGAGGAAGATTGGCAACAGAGGTTAGCTTGGGGCCAATCTTCCTCACCAAAAAAAAAAAAAAAAAAAAAAGTCTCCAGATGTTGCCAAATGGCCCAACAGAATTGCCCCTGTTGAGGACCACTGCCCCAGGCCACAGCTGCACTTTTCCCCTGAGGTCCCTCTTACCATGCATCAGAAAACCACATGGCAGGGCATGCCTCTGCCCCACGAGGTCATGGGCCCCCGAGCATGGCACTGGCTCTTATCCACCTTGAATCCCTGGTGCCAAGCAGGGGAGCAGGCAGAAGGCCCTGCCCTCCCACCCAGGCTGAACCCTACTCCCTGGCAGGGGGGAGGGCAGGGCCCACCGGGCTCCCCACCACCAGGCCTGAGGGCCCTATCTAATTTCCCAGGCTCTGCCGCCTGATCCCGGTCAGGTACACAGTCCGATTTCCTTTCCTGCTGCCCCTATTTAATGCTTTGTCCCTTAGGGAACGAGCACAGTAAAGAAAAATGATTAAACTTTCATGTCAGGAGTCATCTGCCATAAAAGCTGATTAAAAGACACCCAACAGCATTGCCGGCCCAGCCCGGCACGGCTCTCCTTCCTTTTCAGCTGTCACTCCTCCCAGGGCCCAGGTGAGCCCCGGTGGAAACAGCGGTCACCACAGGGCCAGGGGATCTGGTTGCAAGTGCCACCACTTAACTGATCCAGAAACCCCATCCCTCCAGCCTGTCCCCGCCTCGTCCATCAGACAAGGTGATGTGACGTGATGTGGGTGGCAGTGCTGAACTGTTCCTGGAACACAGTAAGTCCCAATGAGAGGCTCACTTCGAGGGAGGTGGCATGTCCCAGAAGTGAGGAGTACAGATTCTACCAGCATGGGGCTGGCCGGCTTCCAGAGTCACACCAGCTCCCCAGCCCCCTGGCCCGCTCCGGAGCCCCAGTCCCCGCCCTCATAGCAGAATCAACAGACACGGCCCCTTTGCCCACACTTTCAACAAGAGAATGTAAGACCAAGTATTTGAAGCCGTTAACATGCTATACAAATACGACGTATTGTTACTGGAGAGACTGGTGGCCGGGGTGTGGGAGAGCGTAGGACGTTGCGTCAGGCGGCCTCGAGTCTCGTGCCTGACCTGTCCCTCAGTGTCACCTTGGCAAGTCCCAAACTTTCAGTCTCCATATCTCTATTTATGAAACTGGGTTTAAAAAAGAAGACCAGTGATCCCCTCTAAGTGACTGTCCACTCGGTCCCGAGGGCAGGGGCCCCGAGCCTGTGACCCCACTCTGCCCAAAGCAGGCTCTGCCGATGGTGACTGCTCCCTCCAAGTCATTCCATCACGGGCACATCATCCTCTCACGCAGAATCATGCCTGCACGTCTATGTAAAGCCGTGGACCGTGCCGGACGGCCCCTCTCCAGGGTCCTTTCGCCCTCTCTGGAGGCAGAATCTGGAGATTCCACCAAGCCTGGTGTCATGGGCTGGACTGTGCCTCCTAAAATGCATAGGTTGACGTCCTCATCCCCAGGACCTCACAATGTGACCTTATTTAGAGATAGGGTCATTGCACATGTAATTAGTTAAGATAAAGTCATTAGGGTGGGCCCTAATCCATTAGGGCTGGTGAACTTATAAAAAGGAGAAATTTAGAGACAGATACAGACACTCACGGAGGGGAGCTGATACACAGAAGAGACAGCGGCCTCCACAAGCCAAGGAGAAAGGCCTGGACCAGACCCTTCCTTACAGCCTTCAGAAGGAGCAACCCCACCGACACCTCGATCTTGGACTTCTAGCCTCCAGAACTGTGAGACAATACAATTCTGGTGTTTCACAGAACTGACACTCAGTTTGTGGTACTTTGTTACGCAGCCTGAGCAAACTAACACACCTGTCGTCTCAGCCACTGCTCGGCTGCTCTCCATTTACCAACCAGCATGCAGTATGTATGACCTGGGTCACAGGGGCTTAGGGCCACATGTGGACATGGGAGGGCAATGGCTGGGGTGGAGCCTTGGTCGGGGGGTAGGCTGAATTTGGTTCCCATCATGTTGCCTTCAGGAACTTTCTGAGGGTGCTCAGCAAAGGCAGTGGCTCTCCCAGTGGACCCCGCTGTGAGTGGGGGGGCTCTCGAGGAGTGGGGTGCTATGGCCTCACTGGCTCCTGGAAGCCTGAGAGCATGCCCCTTCCTGAGAGTGACAAGGTGGCCACCCTGGGAGAGGCCTGGGGCCACACAGATCCCACAGAGGCACACGGGGCACAATGCAGGCCCCCAGCATCCGCTCACTGTAGTCACCCTCCTCCCCGACTCCGGGCCCCCTTGACTCACCACCCAGTCTTTGCGAACAATCATGGTCATGATGATCTGGTACTGGAAATACAGAGGGATGAGCAGCGGTGGGCCAACTGCAGGGAGAGAGCAGAGGTGCTTAGGGACCCCCTGTCCCGCCCGGCCTGGGCTGGAAGATTGGGAGGCGCTGGGAGCAGAACGCTGAATGTGGGGCCCGGCTCTGCAGCCCATGAGCAGAGGCAGCCGGGGGCCCTGGTACCCGAGGAGGGGGCTGGGGGCAGACAGCACATTCCCCCTGCACCCCGCCCAGGGCTCTCAGAGTGTGGGACCCTGGGCCAGTGTGTGGGACACCTGGGGCCTGTGCCCCATCTGGATCGTGGGCTCGCATGGGTTGGCGGCAGTGGCCCCTCCTTCTCTAACAGATTTAGTGTCACTTTCCAGGTCTGAAAGGGTGTCGGGGGGAGGGGGGATAGGGCCGCTCTGGGGTGAGAAGGGGCCCAGGATGTGGTTGTGGGGGCCCAGCACTCACTCAGGAAGAAGTATTCATGCTGGTGGTTGTAAGGAAGGTACTTCAGCTTCTTCTTGCCGTACTGAGGAGAGAGCAGAGCCCATGAGCACTCGGCCCCCCTCGGACCCCAGGCCCCCGTGCCCACAGCCACGTGCTCTGCAGCCCCGCCCCTTCCTCCTGCTAGGGGGCCTCTGCCCCTCTCCTGTCAATCTGCACCCTGGGCCGGCCAAGGCTGGGCCCCTCTGGCCCTCTGGGCTCCCGGCCGCTCCGGCTAACAGCAGCCAACATCTGTGCAGCCCCAGCTGAGTGTGCCAATCCCGAGCTGCGTCCCATGCAGGCCTCAACTCAGGCTCTCCCCCGAGAGCCCACCAGCCAGCAGGCACTTCTGAAGCTGAGGCTCAGGGTCAAGTCATTGCCCAAGGCCACATGCAAAGTGGGCCCGGCTGGGCTCTGAACCCAAGAAAGCTGGCTCAGAGCCTACGTGATAGGCAATAAATAAATGTTTGTTGAGTGAATGCACAACTGAACAACTCACACGAGGGCATGGGCACCCAGAGGGAGCTCCTTGGCCAGCCTCCACCGCTTTGGGAGTGAGAAGAGCTCCAGGGTCACCCTGGAGAGCTCTCCGGAGCCTGAAGCAGCCAGGAGAACCCAGGTAAGGGCCTGAGGAATTGTTAACAGTCAGCAGGCTGGGAGCATTGACCTCCATGAAGCCTCCTGCAATTTTCAAAAGCTAATCACTCCTCCCAGGTGGATGCTTTCCACTTGAGGACACCAGCAGGTGAGAGGAGGTCACCGCATGGATTCCTCGGGCAACATCGGCTTACCTAATTCCACCCAGGGCACCGCTTCCCTCTCCATCGGAGCCTGCATCCCCGGGCAGCCTGGTACCCAGAAACTCTGAGTGAGAAGGGCCAGGCAGGGGCCTGGGCATCCTCAACACACAAAGCTGCTCAGGCCCCTCTGAGCCTGAGCTGATGAGGAGCGACTGTCCCACAGGATCCCTGCAGCCCTTTCATTCCAGGGTCCAGCCCCCTGGGGACCAGCCTACTCTGCTCCTGCAGGGCTGAGAACAAAAGATGCTGCTTGCAGAGTGGCATCCATTTCCCCTTGCTTGCGATGCTGGGGGGCTATGCAGGGAGCCCAGGTCTGGACACTGCCTCTCATCAGTGCTGAGCCCCTGCACAGGTCACCTAGCCCCGCCCCCCTTTAGCTTCATTTAGCATCCAAACCATTGGTTGTTAAGAGGAGCCAATGAGAACAGGGACATAAGTGCCAGGTGCTGAGCCACGAGACAGTGCCTCTCATCCGCCCCTCCCCGGATCGGAAGGCCGGAGCCATCCTCCTCCGACGGTGTCCATCCCCACTTATTGCAGTTGGAAGATCAAAGCAAGTTACGGATGGAGAAACGCCGGATGTCGTCTAGATCTGTGCCCCCATTCTCCTGGTGAGAACACGAAGAGGAAAGTGATTGTCAAAATCACAGGGAGGGCCCATGGACTCCATGAGGAAGGGCCCTGGGTGGGAGCAGAGCCCAGCCGGTCCCCAGGACCGGCATCCTGACGTCAGCAGCCACGGTTACAGCACGGCTGTCCAGAACACCACCAGAATCGACTCCTTTGTTCCGTGTGGCCTCCTATGCCTTGGCAGGGGCTCGCTCATCCCCAGAAAGTACGTCCACTTGCACGAAGGCTGTCATTAAGGCCAGGATTGAGGCTGGTCTTGGAGAGGTCCCAGCCAGAGAAGCCTCAGAGGCAGTCTTGGACGATTTCCCAGTGGAGGGAGGGGCAGGGGGCGCCCCTTGAGTGGCCAGTCCATGGGAAGTACAGCTTCCCGGGGTCCCTGGGAGTGTGTGGCCACAGAACAAGCCTCGGGATCCTGCTCTGACCTCGTCCCAGAAGCCAGGACATAAGCCCACAGGCCCAGCCTTTCCTGCCAGCTTCCTTGGCCCCGGACAGGAGCCCCCCCAACCACATCTCTGCCCCACAGGTCATCCCAGGGGACCGCCCCAGGCCCAGAGGACCTCTCGGGCTGGTCAGGCTCTACTTGGGAAGCGAGCAGCCCAGGCAGGTCAGCAGAGACCAGAGGGTCCCCAGAGAAGGACTTAGGGGTGGCCGAACTGCTGGGGGGGGCCCCTGGGGAGTTCGTCTGAAGCTGCATCTACACAGCAAGCACACCGTTTTCACTGATTTATGGTGACCTTTGGGGGGACGACAGAGACTACGGGGGCTGATGCTCCATTAGCCGCCCCCAGCCAGCGAGCACAGCAGGCTCCCACGTGCGCCCCTTCAGAGCCCCAGACTGCCCTGTGGGAGCCGAAGAACCCCTCCCCCAGGCAGCGGAGGCCTCTCCATCAGCCCCTGAGGGCTCCCAGGCTTAGGGAGGCAGGGGCTTAGGATCTGGAAACAATTTATTTGAGCAAATTGCTCCCCGCCCACGAGCTTTGAGTTCCTTATTTGCAAAGCGGAGGTATGATGGGTGCTTCAAGGGGTTGTTGAGGGATGTGAAGTGGCTGTAAAAGCACTTTGGGGCTGTGAACAAAAGGTTAGTCAAGGGCCGGCCCCGTGGCACAGCGGTTAAGTTCACATGTTCCGCTTCTCGGCGGCCCGAGGTTCACCGGTTCGGATCCCAGGTGCGGACATGGCACCGCTTGGCAAAAGCCATGCTGTGGTAGGTGTCCCAGTAGGTGTCCCATGTATAAAGTAGAGGAAGATGGGCACGGATGTTAGCTCAGGGCCAGTCTTCCCCAGCAAAAAGAGGAGGATTGGCAGCAGTTAGCTCAGGGCTAATCTTCCTCAAAAAAGTTAGTCAAGTCACGCGTGTGCCTGTGTGTGGTGACACACCAAGATGTCACTGCACGTTGGGGCAAGTGAAAGGTCGTCTGTCAGCGTACGACTGACCCACAGCGCTAGCTTCCCTCTGGCTCTTGGATGCCAAGCCCCGAGTGTGGCTGACTTTCTGGCTCTTTCTTTGCCAACACCTGGCTGCAAAAGTCACGGGCTCGGGGAACGGATGGGAGAGGTATTTTAGAATGTACCAAGCTGGGCGGGGGAGTTCCTGGCCTCTTCATTCTTCAGAAAGCTGGAGTGATTCTACCAACACATTTCCCCAAGCGCCCACCAGGTGATGGCCCTGGACAGGGATCCACAGGACCCGGAAGCCCTGGCTTGGCCTGAGTTTGGAAGGTGGCACTGCCTTTTCTGACTGTCATCTCGAGCAAGTTCTTTCATCTCTCGGCCTCAGGCGTTCCGTCTATAAAATGGGTTTGATCACAGCTCCTGCCTCACGGTTAAGCAAGGATGAAGTGATGCCCTGTACGCGGTGGCAGGCCCACAGACTCAGGAAGAGCCTGCCTTCCTCCCCACTGGGGGCTGCAGCGCCTGGAGGACCCCGCACACCTCCGCTCCTCCAGGAGAGTCCTCATCGCACGCACACAGGGAGAAAATTGGGCGGTGGGGCTGTCACAGGGAAGACGTAAGGAAGACAGAAGGTACTTTCACTCAAGCAAGGGTATGGGTGACTTGTGGTGTCCAGACCCCAAAAAGGAGATGGTGGTACACACAGGGCTCACTCTGACGTGTTCCCAAGCCGAGGGTGATAGGGAACGCAGGCCAAGGGCAGAGGGAAGGGGAGCACTGCCAGCCCTGGTGGTCTGGCGTCCCAGAGGCCCACAGTCCTTGGCCCTGGTCAGGCTGACCCTCCTGGGCTCAGTCTCTCCACGGACCACAAGGCCAGGCTTGGATTACCGGCTGAGGGGCTGCCAGGGGCATGTGCAGGAGACTTTGCAGCTTGGGAACAAAATGTCTGAGGAATGACAAGGGCTTTCCTTGTCTTTTCAGGGGTGGGGGAGGGGAGCTGTCACAAAGCCCAGTCCTTGCCTCTGGGAACGAACAGACTCAGAGAGAGAGAGAAATGAGCAACATGGCCACACCAGGCACGCGCGGAACAGTAAAGCCCAGTCCACTGGCCCCGAGAGGAGGGCACGGGGCTTCCAAGGGAGGACTAGCCCTTTGGCCTGTTCACGAAGGGCCTGCCTGAAGCAGGCAGCCTGCAGGCTCAGCCGAGGACAGGCAGTGGGGCAGGGAGAGTGTCCCAGATGCGCAGAAAAGCGGGGTCTCAGGCAGGAAGGCGGAAAGACTTCTGTGAGCCACGGGCAGGGTTACAGGGATAATGGCCTCCCGTTCCCTCCATGATATGGGAAGAAAAAAAAAAAAAAAAAGAAATGAGCAAAACAAGAGACTGGCACTGACATCACCACGATCTAATTCTGTCCTGGAAGTTCCAGTAATGCCATAAAAACCAAACCAGAAATAAGAGCGTGACGCTACGAGAAAGAGAGTCTAAATTTTCGTTATTTTCAAGGATATGACTGTCCGCCCAGGAAACTCAAAAGAATCAACTGAGAAACAATTAGAATCATGAAGAGACATACTGGACACTAGTTGGACACGAGATAACTAGCCGAACAGCAAAAGCTTCCTGAATACCAGAGAAACCCAATCCTAACGACAAAAATAGAAAATAGCTAGGAAAAAACTGAAAAAGAAACATCCAGAAGACATATAAAGGAAAGTATAAAGCCTTTCCAAGAGACAGAAAAGGAGACGAGTAAATGGAGACAGACGTCTGATTCCTGGATGGAAAGGCTGACCACAATGACATAAATTCTTTCTAGAAGAGGAAAGGCCGCTACAAGCTCACAGTGACTTATTAAGTGGCAAGGATGCATCAGTGTGACGCCTGAGTCACCCAGACAGCCCCCCGTGAGAGGACAGACAGCCCAGACCTGGCGCTCGCTCTGCCACACGGATGGGTGATCTGATGCGATGGGGGAAAACCGTCTGACTCCAGAGAAATGTGACGGGGGTACACCATCTTACTCAAGTCCCATTTGGCAAGAGTTAAAACAAACAAAAGGGAAACCATAAAACCCTGAAAATAATATGGATGGAGAACTTTCTGAGTATAAAAGAAATGACAGGACTCCCCAGGAGGAAAAATGAATACGTCCTGCCACATAAAACAAATGAAACCCTCCCAGAAGGCATAAATAAGACCAAGAGGCCGGAAACCAACTGAGAAAAGGGCTTCGCTGTGAGACCGCGAGCTTACATGTCTGCCGGCTGGGCAGCCCTCTGGAGCCGCCTGGTTGGGCCGGTTGGTTCGTCTATGTCCAGGGATAACAGCCCCGCCTCCTTGCTCTGGAGGCCAAGACTGGCTCAAGACCCCATGGCCTGGCTGCCCAAGGCCAGTGGGTGGTCCTGGCATGGTGCAAGTGCCATCAAACCCATTGTCACCAAGGTCCCTTCCAGGTCAGCACAGTCCTGTGGACAGCAGGGCACAGCTCAATCAGTAACCCAGAAACAACTGGCCTTTTCTTTCCTCCATGTGTGTGCGAGAGAGAGGAAGATTTCCATGGAGCCCTGTGGCCCTCGCTGTGGTCTTTCAAATGCCACTGGTAACTGGATAACCAGATGCCCTAAACCGCACCCCCCCAGCCCCTCACCCAAAAGCTGGCAATTCAAAAAGTGTCTAGAGAGAGGAGACGTTGGAAGAGGATCCAGCGGCCACCATACAGAGAGGAAAGACATCTTCATGTGCCAGCATAGCTGGTGAAACTAGATTTTGCTGTCAGGGACACAGGGAACATCTGTCAGGACAGCCAAGTGCTTGACACAAAGCCTCGAGGAGGAAGGGAAGCCTTTGTCTTCACTGAGCAGATTGCCCCACGTTAGGCAGTTCTGCTCTCCGGACACCTCAAATCAAAGCTAGCAAACTGTCTCCTGGAAGAAAAACATAAGCACGTTCTTGGGCAGAGAATAAACTCCCCGCCTGCCTCGGGAGGCTCCCCACTCTCAAAGTACTGGATTTTGCCTAATTTCCTCTGGAGGGCCAGGGTCACAGAAAACCCATGTTTCTGCTCAGATATTCTCTCGGGTGGAAATGAAACGGGAGAAACGGGCTACACAGCAGAACTGGAGGAACAGATTCCTCTCCTCGTTCCAAGCTTTGGGGGCCAATGCTGCTGGGAACAGGACTAGTTCAAGACCTTGCTGCTTACCAACCGGAAATGTGCCTCACTCGGCAAGTGCTCACTGCGCCCTACATCGTGATGCTTAAGATTTGCATGAAGGAAGAAGGAGCTGCTTCTTTTCTTTTTTCAAAGATTGGCCCTGAGCTAACATCTGTTGCCAATCTTCTTTTATTTTTTCTTTTCCTTCTTTCCTTCTCCCCAAAGCCCTCCAGTACACAGTGGTATATTCCAGTTGTAGGTCCTCCTGGCTCTGCTATGTGGGACGCCGCCTCAGCGTGGCCTGACGAGCGGTGCTGGGTCTGCCCCCAGGATGCGAACCTGCGAAATGCCAGGCCGCCAAAGCAGAGCGCGCGACAGGGCCGGGGCTGCAACAAGAATCTGCTCACCTTTGGTTCACACCATCCAGGTATTTCCAAAAAGTAAATCATATGAAGATTTTTTTTCCGGTAAATGGAATCCTAACATAGAGACTGTCACATAGAGGCTCCACTTTTTAAAGAAACATGTTAAATGAGGACATGGTTTAAGTTCTTTAAAGCATTGGGGGTGTTTTTATTGACAGAAAATTAAGAATTGGAAAACACCAAATTGTCCCGCATTATATAACAGTGCGAGTTACAATATGGTGTAGAAACACAGCAGAGCACTGGACAGCCCCAGGATGAGGCAACGTACTTGGACACAAGAAAAGAGGTCCACGTTTGGGGAGGTGGCAAGGTGCACAACAGAATAGGTTCTAATAGAATACATTTTTGTTTTTCTTTTTTGAGGAAGACTAGCCCTGAGCTCACATCCGTGCCCATCTTCCTCTACTTTATATGTGGGACGCCTGCCACAGCATGGCTTGATGAGCGGTGCATAGGTCCACACCCAGGATCTGAACTGGCAAACCCTGGACCACCGAAGCAGAGCATGCGAACTTAACCACTGCATCACCAGGCCAGCCCCTAAGTTTTTCTTTTTAAAAAACAGATACATGGGAGGAGCTAGCCCCGTGGCTAAGTGGTTAAGTTCGCGCACTCTGCTGCAGGCGGCCCAGTGTTTCATTGGTTCGAATCCTGGGCGCGGACATGGCACTGCTCATCAAACCACGCTGAGGCAGCATCCCACATGCCACAACTAGAAGGACCCACACAAAGAATATACAACTATGTACTGGGGGGCTTTGGGGAGAAAAAAGAAAAAAAAGTAAAAAGTAAAATCTTTAAAAAACAGATACATCGGGGCCGGCCCGGTGGCATAGTGGTTAAGTTCACGTGCTCTGCTTCAGTGGCCCAGGTTTTGCAGATTTGGATCCTGGGCACCGACCTACACACTGCTTATCAAGCCATGCTGTGGCGGCATCCCACATACAAAATGGAGGAGGATTTACATAGATGTTAACTCAGCAACAATCTTCCTCAAGGGAAAAAAAAGAGGAAGATGGGTAACAGATGTTAGCTCAGGCCCAATCTTCCTCACACACACAAAAAACAAAAACAGATATATGCATGTTTACACATACACAGAAAATATTTGGAAGGATATAGAGCATGTTGTCAACAGTAGTCACCCTCAGAAGCACGACATTTGGGCAAAGCAGGGATAGTGGAGATAATAGGAGACTCATGTTTTAATTTTGTATACTTCTGTGATATTTAAATGCTTATAACAGGCACAGTCTCTATTTATAATAAAAAAAATGTACTAATATTAAAACAAGGCAGTGTGGTATGGTGGAAAAAAATGACCTCGCTGTCACATTTGGGGCCTCATCTTAGACTGGCCACTAAAGTCTGTGACGCTGAACACATCCCCTCCTCCCACTGAGCTTTGCCATCTATTGGTGAAGCAGGTTGGACCAGACCATGCCAAGGTCCCTCCCAGCATCCAAGACCGTGACTCTCCAAATAAGGTTTCCTGGAGCTGGCCTTTGGGGACCAAGCTTGAGTCCCGGAATTGTGCCTTCTTGCCAAACCTCTGCCCTGGGAGAAACAAGCCAGGAAAATCTCTTTCTCGGCCAGTGGGAGGGAGGGCGGGAGGGGGGCATCTCACACTCTGATGAGGAGCTGCATCCATTATTTACACGTGAGGCCATTCCACACAAATTCCAGCTTGAATAATTCAGGGTGTCCTGGAAAGGTTTCCGTGTAAACATGAGACGCTGGTGCGTCTGGCTGAATAGCCACCCTACAGGATTCCTTCCCTGTTCCCCGCTCAGGCCAGACACTTCCCATGTCAACAGCATCCCCTTCATCATACCTCAACGGGCTGCCATTCACCCAAGACGAACACATGCAGCATGTTCACATCGGGATCCTTGTGGAAGATGTTGGGCTTCGCGTGATGCTGGAAGTGGCGGTGGTTCCACCAGTTGGCTGAGGCACCCTGTGCAGGGAGGAATGGGGGTGAGTAGTGCAGGTGGCCAGAGGACCTGAGCTCATCGGCGACAGACCCGCTCAGGACCAGCTCCCAACACCTCCAACACTCAGAGCCAACTTCTCCGTTACACACAGGGTCTCAGGCCCCAAAGTCCGAATGCAGCCCTGCCAGTACTGAGTCCAGAGTGCCAGACAGCCCCTGGGGCCAGGACTTCCAAGGGGAGCCAAGTCACTCCATCCCTCCAGGCCTGTTCCCCAATCGTAAGATGGTGATGGTGGACGCAACAATGGTGCACGAGACGGGCTGGTGTTGGACCACAGGGCAAGTGCTCCGGCAGGTGTGGGCTTGGTCTCTGCACTCCACTATCACCAGGTGTGAGCCTTCACACCCCTCACCCTCTACATGTCTCCCGTGTGCCCGTGTTGTGTAAGGAGTTGGGGTTTCAGGGGCAGTAAGAAGTGGTCGCTACCATGTGACCCAGCATTCCACTCCTAGGTGTGTACCCAAGAGAAATGAAAACACGATCATGCAAATACTTGTACCCAGATGTCCCCAGCAGTGTAATTCAAAATAGCCAAAAAGGGGAAATAACCCAAACGTCCATCAAGTGATGAATGGATAAATAAAACAGGGTAGATCCATACAATGGAATACTGATCGGCCATGCCATTAAAAAGAACCTCTTGACACACGCTACAGCATGGATGAACTTTGAAAACATCACGGTAGGTGAAAGAAGCCAGTCACAAAGGACCACCTATTGTATGATTCCATTTACATGGCATGCCCAGAATGGGGAAATCCATAGAGACAGAAAGATGAGTGGTTGCCCAGAACTAGGGTTGGGGGCGGATGGGGGTGGATACAGGGGTTGGGAGGTGATGGCTAAGGTGTGGAATTTCTTTTTGGGGATGATGAAGACGTTCCAAAATTGATTGTGTTGATGGTGCATAAATCTGTGAATATATTACAAGCCATTGGTTGGTACACTTTAAATGGGTGACTTGCATGGTATGTGAATTATATCTCAATAAAGCTTTTTTAAGAAAAAAAAAGACCACCAGTGGTCCCTGATCTCAGAGGGCCCACGGAGCAGCCGGCAAGAGACAGCCCAACAGCCAGACACATTGAAAACTGAGTCACACCACGCCCAGAAAGCTCTAGGGAGAGCTTAATAAACAACCACCCATGTGAACAGGTAAGAGCTTCCTGCTTCTAACACGTAAACATAAAATTACGATTCCAGGCCGGTGGCGCAGTGGTTAAGTTCGCATGTTCCGCTTCGGGGGCCTGGGATTCGAGGACTCGGATCCCGGGTGCAGACCTACACACTGCTTGTCAAACCATGCTGTGGCAGGCATCCCACATACAAAGCAGAGGAAGATGGGCACGGATGTTAGCTCAGGGCCAGTCTTCCTCAGCAAAAAGAGGACTGGCAACAGATGTTAGCTCAGGGCTAATCTTCCTCAAAAAAAAAAAAAATTAATGCTAAAAAAAATAAAATAAAATTACAATTCTAGGAGACAAGGAGTGTTACGTAAGTATTTATTTCAAGGCCACGAATTTCTATCTCGCCAGCTCAAGCTCTCGACATATTTCGAGGGCACCTCCCTCCACAAAGTTGCCCAATGACGCATAGAAAGAAAGAAACTTTCCCAACTCCTCTGCATGAGGATTTTGCTCGTGAACTGCTGCTGGGTCAATCAATGCTTTGACCAAGGGTGGGGCCATCTACAAAAAGACCGATTTGCTAAAACAAACATTTTACTTGGAAGATGCTTTTGGCTCAGACACGGTCTCAGGACACTAACAGCCACGGGCAGAAATAGCTCTGTGCAGCTGTGGCCTCTGCGATGACCTCAGGACCCTGTGAGCAGGCGGGTCTCAAATGCCATCAGAGCAAAAACATGTCACCCAGGGAGAGCTTACGGGATGTGGGAGTCAGATGACACATTCACCTTATTAACCCAAGCAACCAAATTCCTGTGAAGAACGAAATAGAAAAGTCTGGCACAAAAATATGAAGAGGCAAGGCAGGTTATGAGTAAGTACGATGTTTAGAATGCATTAACCAAGACATGTTTGTTGAAGGAATAAATGGAGAGAAAGGTGGGCTGTGAACACCACAGGGATGAGAGCCAGTGAGATGGGGCTGCCCCGGCACCAGGGATTGGATGGAATGACAGACATTTTTGGGGGGTACTATTCCTCAGCTGTGATTCAATTCCATTTCTCTTCGCTAGGCAAAGCCCTATTTATCCTTTACTGACTCCTCCTTCCTGGGCACCACTCGACCCTGCCCACCCCAGCACAATGGCCCAGCCCTTGTGTTCACAGAATGCAGCCAACGTTGCCTGCCCTGGGGATGAAGTGGGGGAGGGGGAGCCCTTGTCTAGCGAGGGAGAGTCGAGCATCACACGACACTGAGATGGGGCCAAGGGGGCTGGAGAAGTTGCGGGAGGCGGCTCAGGACTGCACTCAGTCTGCAGGCTGGGCAGGAGGGCGCCCGGCACAGCGAGCATGCTTTTCTGACAGAGGGAAGAGCTTCAGTGAAGTCTTTGGGGGATGGGGGAGTGGGAATGTGGACTGTTCCAGAAGCCCAAGGAAGGCCCCTTGCTTGGGCGGGAGACCCAGGACGGCGGCCAGCAGGGCTGGGCGGAGCCACTTCAGAGCCCAAGGGAGAAGGAAAAATGTGCACCCTGGCTTTAGTGATGAAAACTCACCCACGATATTTTCAACATCTACTTTTCGGCTCATTTCGTTTTCAAGCGAGAGAATTGCCAAGTCTGATGATGTCTCTCAACCAAGCGACGATCTTAAATAATTTTCAATGAACTCAAACGGAAGTAAAATAATAAATTCTGTTTCAGTATAAACAGTGCATTTCAACTTAATGTTAGGACTATTAATACACCGACTTTCCGGTTTTTAAATATTTTTCAACTACTTTAATGTTCTGGGGGAAAAGAAAAATAAACCACTAAAAAAAATACACGCAAACATATACAGGGGCACAAAGTTTTCCTTTTGCCTCAGGTTCCAGTATGGTTCAGCGCCATCTTGATCTTTAAAGTGCTGATATTTTGCTCATTGTGGATTTTCTTTTGCATTAATTTTTTTTTTTTTTAAATACAGTCGGCCCTCCATAACCGTGGTTCTGCATCCAGACTCAGTCAACCTCGGATCCAGACCCATGATGCTTACATCTGTACTGAACACGTACAGACTTGTTCTTGTTATTATTCCCTAAACGATACAGCATAACAACTATTCACACAGCATTTACATCGTAGTATTATAAATAATCTAGAGATAACTTAAAGTATACGGAGGATAGGCATAGGTTATATGCAAATATTATGCCATTTTATATAAGGGACTTGAACATCTGGGATGTTGGCATCTGACGGGGGTCCTGGAAGCAATCCCCTGCAGATACCAAGGGACAACTGTATCACATTAAAATATTACTTATCTCGATTATTGAGTTTTCTTGGTGTCCCCTTAAATTCTGCGCCCGAGCCAAATGCCTCACTTGCCTTGCCCTCCTCCCAGCCCCGGTGGTGGCCGGAGATCAGGGTGCAAAAAGGCCACTGAGTGAGTTCTAGATTTCTATCTCCAGATGCGGCAAGTTTCTATTTGATCCTAAGGGCGATGCTGAATACTTAAGGAGTTTTAAGCAGAGGTGCCAGCGCTCAGAATTGTCATTGTACAAGATCACCCTCTGGAAGAAATGTCCACTGCAAGTGACACGAGCTGAAGGAAAAGGGGAAGTCGGGCTGTGGGGAGCTCACCCATGGAATCCTACAGCAGTGCAGGCTGACAGTAAGAAGCAGGTCCCAGCACCCCGCTCGCTGTCCTCACCAGCTAGAACATCTGAGTTGGCAGGGTACCTGAGGATCCCCTTGCAGGCAGCTCCTTTTCCTCCCAGAAAGGGACCAGAGGAACAGATGGACCCACAAGACTCGCGTGCAGCTGTATGACCACCGAAAGCCAGAGTGATTCCAGACAAGCTGTGATCCCACTTGCTCTGAGGCACCCCAGGTGAGCTGCATGGCCACCCACTGGCCTGGACACAGCACGGAGGACACAGCTAGCAGGGGGCTGGAGAGTCAGAAGTGGAACTCGTGTACTTGATCTCTTCTAGTCTCCAAGCCCTGGTATCCTGTCTCTCCATCATCTCAGCATGCCAATTTCGTAAGCCCATGTTCTCCACCGAGGCCAGTCCTCTGTCCTGGCCTTGTCTTCCATTTGACACAGGAGCTGTGCTCCAGGGCCCTTCAAGCACCGAGGCACATCAGGCTGGAAAGGGTCTCCCGGCCCCAGCCCAGAATCTGGAAACAGGACACAGCCCATCTTTGTTAAATGCACTGGAATAACATGCGTGGGGAGGGAAATGTTACTTTCCAATACTGAGGAGGGTTTTATCCAACAGAAAAGAGCATAAAACGTAACAAAGTGCTCTACTATGCGGGCCCTCTCCCGTTCACCCCTGAAATTCTGGAAAGAAACCAGGTTTGCAGACCACTCTGGGCTTAGGGCCAGGCAAACGGCTGGTTGTGGAACTAGTAACTAGTTGCATGGTAGTTCGCCCCCAACAAGATGCGGAGCTGGCCCGCCAAGGGCTCGATGAGGTCTGGGTCACAGGGGGACAAGCCTAACCCAGACACATGGCTCTTCCCAAGCCAGGGCAGCGAGGGATGGAAGTCATCAGGACGCAGCCTTTCGTAGGAAGCAGCTGGATGCTGTTGGGAAAGGGCTGGGGTGGAGGATGAGCTGTTTCAGAAAGAGCTGGCAAGGACTTATCTCCAAAACCAAGCAGATAACTCCCGTCAGATCAGCCCAAGGTCACAGGAAGGTCCAGCTTGCCTTTTTTACGAACTTGCCAAGCTGCTAACGCTTCTGCAAGTCGGCCTCCTCACCTGCAGGGCGGTGAGAGCAGAAATATCTCACTTTCTAAGTTTTAAACAACTTTTATCCTTCAGCTCAGTTCATCATTACACATTTTTTTTTTCTTCTTCTCCCCAAAGCCCCCCAGTACCTAGTTGTCTATTCTAGTTGTAGGTCCTTCTAGTTCTGCTATGTGGGACGCTGCCTCAGCATGACCTAATGAGCGGTGCTAGGTCCACACCCAGGATCCAAACCCGTGAAACCCTGGGTCACCCCAAAGTGGAGCGCATGAACTTAACCACTCGGCCACGGGGCCGGCCCCATCATTACATGCTTTGATGTCCCTGACCTAAATAATTACATGATGACAATATCTCCTTTTCATATCCCGTATCCTTCCAAAACATACTCGAGACGGCTCACGATAAATGACTCACGCATGTGCGTGCTGGCGCGCATGTGTGTGTGTGTCTGTATAACAGAATGATTAAAATAAAGATAAAAGCTTAAATGAGACGTAATGGGAGGGAAAGACACACAGAACAAAAACGTAGACTCAGGACACTTGCTGTTCCAACTCTTGCTTTGTGTTTCCTGGCACCCAGGGGGAAGAAAAAAAAAAGGAACACGGTTATCTTAAATGGCTCACATACCCAGTGGAGGGAAGCATACCGATTCATCAAGACAGACTTCTTCTTTACTGGCCTAAACTAAAAGGAATTTATCAGATATGTTCTTAGATAGGAGCACTGAGATAAGGTGACTCAGGAGTCACCTGAGTCAACAGATAAAAGAGGCATGCGCCTGTTTGATCATTAGGATGCTGATTTTGTGGTCTAATGAGACACAGAGACAGGGCTCAGAAGGTCGGAGAGGTGGCGAATTCAAAAGCCCAGCAGCCCAGCCAGGACACTGACCTGAGAGGGGACCTAGTGTCGAGTGCGATGGCGCTGCGCCAACCGCCAACTAATGGGACAGATGCCCAGAGCCGCTGATGTTTACCTTTAAGTGGCCAATGATAAACTTGTGGACGACGTGGTTCCACGTGGACTTCTTAAACACAGAGAGGTGGCCGTAGTCGTGCTGTAGCCATCCAGCTTGGGCCTGGGGAGAGAGTGCCACAGATGCTCTCACAGCGTCAGCACTCATGCACCCGGCCTCTGCTGGCTGGGGGAGTCAGGGGGCAGGGCCTGCAGGGGACAGGGGAGGGTGTCCCGCCTCACCTGAGAGGTAGCAAGGACAAAGGCCGTGATGACGGTTGGAACCCAGCCATTGCCGAAGTAAAAGATGGTGAACCACGCGATGCTCTCCATGACAATGATGTGGGCCAGGAGGAGGAGGAAGAACAGGTGGTTACTCTCGAACAGGTTCATGTCCTCGGCTGTCTTCCTCAGGGCCTGGAAGTCCTCGGTGATCTGGGACTGTCGAGCGAGGACACAAGGAAGGAGTCAGCCACCCAGCCACTCTGGAGGGACCGATGCCTTCTTAATACCCGATGCACAGCCCAGAGAAGCTGTGGCAAGAGGGGACCAATCCACACGCCCACGGCCCGAGGGAGCCCAGCCACCATGCACTACAACCACGGCTGTCCCCACATGCCTGCTGCGGGCCCAGCATGGCCCTGGGGATGGTGCATTTGTCCAGAGCCGGTTAAGTGGCAGAGAAAGGAGCTGACTCAAAAGCTTGCACTTTGCACACCCCTGTTCACAGCAGCATTATTCACAACAGGGAAAAGGCAGGAACAACCCAAATATCCATTGATTGATGGATGGTTAAACAAAATGTGGTTTCTGAATCACAGTGGGCCGTTATTCAGCCTTAAAAAGGAAGGAAATTCTGACACGTGCTATAGCATGAATAACCCCTGAAGGGGAAATTAAGCCAGACTCGAAAAGACAAATACTGTATGCATCCACTTATCTGAAGTAACAGAATAGGCAAACTCATAGAGACAGAAAGCAAAATACTGTTTACCAGGGGCTGGGGGGGAGCCGGGAACGGGAGTTAACGATTAACGGGGACACAGGCTCAGTTGGGGATAATGGAAAAGTTCTGGAGATGCACTGTGGTGATGGTTGCATGACAGTGTGAATGGACTTAATGCCACTGAACTGGACACTTAAAAATGGCTAAAATGGTAAATTTTAAGTTATGTATATTTTACCGCAATTAAGAAAAAAAGGCATACATTTTCCACTACCCGACTTTGCACCACCTGTTCTGAGCACTCTAGTGGGTCTTGAGGGTGTTGAGGTGGGGTCCCTGCCCCGAGAGCTCAGGGAGGCAGAGAGGATGGGGCGGGCACTGGGCGTGTGGACCCAGGGAGACTGAGGCAGAGTCAAGGCTGGCTCTGGGAAAATGAGGGCATGGCTGGGAGAAGGGAGGAAGCTGGCAGGCAGGCGGGGAAGAAAGTGGAAGGCAGGGAGCTGAAGGTGTCCACGGGCCATACCCAGGGTGCCTTGAAAGGCGGGTAGGTTGGCGCGTGGGTGGAGGAAGCTGGATTTGGGAGCCTGGGTGACCAGTGGTGAAGAATCAGAAGAGCAGCTCTCAACCACTTCAGCAGCAGTGGGAGGGGTGCAACGGGGTGGAGCTAGAGAAGATGGTCGGGAAGTGGGGAACCTGCAGGATGCACCAGAGGGGAGAGACGCTGCCTGGCTGGAAGGGGGTGGGGAGCGTGGAAGCGGGTGGAAGATGGAGCTAACTGTGAAGGAGGCAGAATGGAATCCCACGTCAGCTCCAGCGAGGGAAGGCCAGATACAACGTGAGGGGACTGGACAAGAGGGAAAGACGCTGTGCTGGGCCTGGCTCCTCGGAGGGCCCGGAGCTGCAGGCTGGGACTGCCTTACTCCAAGGAAGGGACCAGCCCAGGCTGGCAGCAAGAGGAGTGGGGTCTCTGTGGGGCCAGCGGAGCCTCCCCGACTCCAGCTGATGGGCAGTGGCTCCCGCTGGACTGGCAAAAGGGCTCCCTTGCCCCCTGGCCCGCTGCACTCTCCGTCTCTGGGCAGGGACCCCCTCTCCCCACAAACCCTCCATTCCTTCCTTGTCCGTCTGACTCACGTTCTTGCCGTGGTCCTGGCTGGGCTCCTCCGGGGCCAGCTCGCCGATCAGCAGGGGCTTCATGAACTTCCTCACGAAATCAAGGTCGCGGTGGAAGGCGCGGAAGGCATCCTGGGGAGCCGAGAGGCAGGTGGTAAGTGGGGACCCCCGACCTCAGCCTGCATCTCCGCCCAGGGAGGGCAGGGATCACCAGCGCAAGCTCCCTGTGTCTCACTCGGAAACAGAACGGGACCTCCCACGAACGAGCCGGCGCGAGATGCTCTCGCGAGCCTCATCCGTAGCAGATGCCTCAGTGCCCAACTCCGACAGCGGTGCCGAGCCTCCGCCATGAGAAGGGGCTGCGGAGCTTGCCAAGAGTGTGTGAGTAAGACATGTGGGCTCCCTGTGGGGGAGTCCGAAAAATGCACCCCTCCGGGGAGATGCATCGCGCGGGCACGGGGCTGGGTGGGGCCCGGGGAGGCCTTGAGTCTCCGCGGTTCCTCCACTGGGTGGCCCGGTATGTACTCAGCGAACTGCACGACCCATCGCCCCGTGCCCATCGCTATCAACGAAAATAACAAGCCTGGAGACGACCACGGCGTGGGAAATGTGCTTAGGAGATAACGTGAAACCAAAACCAAAAGCAGAATTCAGTAAAAAGTATTTCTGAAAAGAGCTTTTCCACAATTTCAAACAGTATTAAATTAATTATGAAAATTATGAAAAAATTTTTCTGGAAGGCTCTAGACTATGATGTGTTAAGGTGGTGACATTACGCCTTGCTTTATTTTCATTACTTTCCAAACTTTCCCTAACATTGTTATATTGCTTTTGGAATAAAAAAATTAATGTTATGTATTTTAATCTTTTTTTTGGATCATCAAGTAATAATGTGCCTAGTTTGGGCAAATTTAGAAAATGTATGGAAGAATAAAGAGGAAAATAATATTATCCAGAGTGACCACCATTACTAATATTTTAGCATATTTCCTTCCAGTTTTTTTCTATACATATTTTGCATGTTAGATAAATTATCTCATAACAAATACAGCAACTCCATTAGAGATGAGCTGGTACCAGGTCCCCCGATGGGATGTCCCAGAGGATGTCCCAGGAGTAAACAGCATTTTCCCTACATGGAACCAAGCTTTGAGACATTGCTAGGTTAGAGCAACAAGTCAGATGACACCAAGAGAAATGATCAGAAAATCAATGTAGTGGGGGAAAAAAGTGTGGGTGCATGTATGCGGGGGGAGGGAGTCCAGAGTAAAAGAGACTGAAAAAGATGTAACAAAATATATAAAAACTGCAATACTTGATTTGAAAGGCTCTCATTTGGAGGGAAGAAAAAAAAAAAAATCTAGCAGTTATATAAGACATTTTTGGGGTTGAGAGAGAAAATTTAAATAGGGACTGGATATCTGATCCTATTAAGCAATTATTATGAATTTTCCTAAATATGACAAAGGTATTGTGATTATGTTAGTGTCCCTATTCTTAGAAGAAGATGGTGGAGAATTTTGGGATGGTGGCAGCCCAGGCACGCGACATATTTTCATGATTCGGCAAAAGGAAATTGCACAAGCATAAAGAGGGAGAATGGAAATGTGGCCGAATGTTGAGATTACTGAATTTCGGTTGAGGATACAGAGGTGTTCATTTATTCTTCCAACATTTCTGTATGTTTGGAAAATTAAAAATTAAAAAAAAAGATGGGAGAGGAATGGGGAAAATGCTGACAACTCATAAAAATGTTTTCCCTCCCACCCCTCCCCACTCACCAAAGTATCTTGAAACGGTAATTGCCAGTTTTCTCCCATTTTCTTATTGCATCTCTGGCACGATGTCCTTTTGCCTGGCCTTTGTTCTATTTGTCTCTAGAATGGACTCATAAGGCAACACTTGGGGCGGAGGAAAACTGGGACCAGAGGTTTAAAAGAAAGGTCTGTGTCCCCTCCTCAGCTGTACAGAAGGAGATGGTCGCCGAGGATCAGATCAAGCACATTGTCAGAGAAGAGACGTGTAGCTATTCCAGGGGCCTTGGAGGCCTGGGGGTCCAGTGCTGACCAGGTCTGCCCACTCTGAGCCAGCGGCCCCCACCCAGCCTCAGTCTCCTTTGCAAAGTGAGGACTCTCCCAGCTCCAATGTTTGAGAAATCTGGGAATGGCTCAGAAGGAGTTTCCAAAGTCAGGGCCTAGAAACCCCCTTTCCTGGGTCCTCTTGACGTCAGACCACGGCTTTTGAGAAATGAACCAGCAGGCCCTGCTAAGTCAGTTACCCAGTGATTACTCTACTTCTCAGCGTGAGGTGAAATTCCATGGTCTGCAAGCGCATTCTTCTTGCAGTCAGCTCCCACTGCCCCCCACCAGGTCCAGGTCATGCCTCCGAGCCCAGGCTACGGAACCTGGTGGAGCAGACAGACAGACTTCTGTCCTGACCGAGGCCACTCCTCGGCCATTTCTAGAGGGCTCTCGGGCGGCCTCACTTCCCTGAAGCCAGGCCAAGGGACGGGCTACATGCCAGGTCAGGAGCCAGGAGCATTGTTTATGTTCCCTCCCCGAAGCCTCAAAGCCCTACTTTACAGATGAAGACAGCCAGGATCAAATCTAGCTTCAGCGGACTCAAGGATGCTTCCCCACACGCCCCGCGCCTCCTGCCAATTTAGAAAGCTGTTGGATTGTCTGGTTGTCCATGGGAGATCCGGCAACCTTCGGAGCAACCCTGGTGGGAACCCCTTGAACGCACTAAACTCATTCCCACCCCAGGGCCTTGGCTCGGCTCTTCTGCCTGGAGCCATGCTCCCACAGTGCCCCGTGGCCAGCTCCACCTGGGACACACCTCAAAGAGGCTTTTCCCACCACCCCATCCGGAATAGCCACCCTTCAGCCCTACGCTTCCTCTGGGACGTTGCCCTGTTTTATCTTCCTCACAGCAGTTGTCAAGGTCACAAGCTGTATTACAGACTCACTTCTCTCTTGTCTGTCTCCTCCGCTGGAATATAAGGGCCACCACGCCTGTCCTGTTTGCTGCAATGATCCCAGTGCCTTCAACAGTGCCTGATGGGAGGGCTCACGAGTGAATGTGGGGACGGAGGCCCCCACAGTGGTGCAGCCTCTAATCCCGGGAGACTTTTCCACCCTGCAATCATGTTCAGACTCTTCTCTTCTTCCGCCATTTTGCACAATCCGGTTTATGCTTCTAGAACATGAAAACTCTTCACCTTCTCCAGCCCCCACACGCTGGTGGCCGTCGGTTGGTAGAGCTGCCATATGCTGAGATTACATAGTCAGCCCCTGAGCTACGGGCTTCGCGTACCCAAGCCACTAATCTTCACCCAACTCCGGGTGGCAGGCCCGATTTCGGAGACGAGAAGAGGCTGAGGGAGGTGAAGCCACTTGCCCACGGTCACGCGCCAGGTGTGCCTAACTCTGTAGATTTCCGCTGTTTGTACCAAGGCCTCCATCAAAATCAGCTTCACCCTCTCTGAGAGTTGATCACTTTTTGTGTCTCCCCCTCGAAGTGTCCCAGGTATGCCTCACATGCTTGTGGAAGATTCCCGGTTGCTGCTGGGTTACCGAAGGATCTGGCTGGTGCAAGGTAGGCCACGGGGGGAAGACTGAGCCAATCCAAACGTTGATTTTGGAACGAGAATTGGAACCAGGTTCCATCCTCGTCTGACAGGGAGAGAAGCCAAAGACTTCCCAGGAAGAAGGCCAGGGCACAGGTGAAGAGAAGGGAGAGGCAAACAGGCTGAAAGGAGAGCTGAACCCACCCCCCAGGAGAGCACGGGTGTGTGTTGGGGGTTGGGAGGTGAGGCTGCACGAGGGAGCCAGAACACGCAGATTGCCAAATGGAAGATGTGTGTGCGTCACATGTCCCTGCTTTCGCCAGTCCCTGCTTCGGCCACCTCCAGGTCCTACGCCAGCCAACTTCTGCATGAAGACATCTCCCCTGCCCCGGCCCCACTCCGGTGGCATCACAGCCCCTCCCCCAACACTGAGATCTGGTGCCCTGATTTGTTTCTCTGGTTGTGTCCACCTTCTCTGCAGAGCAAGGCAAGTCTCTAACTCAGCTTTGCACATCCGGGCACTTGGCCCAGGACTTGAGGAGTGAGCTTGCAGGAGCAAGCTCAAGGCCCACTATGACGCAGGCGGCAGCCCTGGGAGTGGGGACTCCGTGAAACAAGCGGTAAGTGAGGGAGAAGCTGAGTTCCCGGGGGGATATGGGGATGCTGACTTCCTTTCCACAGCAGAAAGATGCGGGCAGGGCTGGAAGACCCTGTGCCATGTCCCCTGCCAAAAAAAGGAGCAATGGAAACTGGTGGCACAGTGCTCTGTGGCCAAAGGGTCATGGGCGAGGACGTCCCTTCTGATGGGTGCTGGGAACAAGCACACACATGCACACGAGGCTAAGGGACACACGCACCTGCAGGACAGGCGCCACCCAAGGGGTGTGAAGAGCAGGACCGCACAGGAAGCAGGCCCCTGAGGAGACAACCTGGGCCTAAGGGATTACAGCAAGAAATAAGATGCTTGCTAGGGATGCTGGGGCGGAACAGGGGATCTTTCTTCCGTGAGGCTGCAGCCAACAGGAACTGGATGGCTCCCACAAGCTCTAAGCCGAGTGGGTGGAGCTGCCCTCCAGGCACAACCAAAGAGGGATTTCTGTGCAGCAAATATCTTTCTCTTTGGCAAAAACTGAGTCAGCAAGGTTCCCCTTCCTGACCTCCTTTCCCTATTTACTGAACTCCCTGCTGTGTGTGCTGGGAACACACACATGTGCACATGAGGCGAAGGGACCCTGGGAATGCTCCCACACACCTGTCAAGCGTTCTGACGTTTAAAGAATGATCCCGCACACAGCCCATTGGCCCCTGATAATAACCGTCCCATTTCATAGACCTGGAAAGGCAAGTTCAGGGTAAGTGGCTTGCCGAAGAATTCATAAAGCTGGGACACAGACCCAAGTCCTCGGCCTCAAAATAACGAGAGCCTCCCTCCTAAAGATGGACGGAGACTCCATCCCTCTTTGATCTGTTGCCTTTTCACAAGAACAGCACAGGAGACGGAAGAAATCCTAACATCCCTGCTTTCGAAGAGGCCACCCATGCAGACAGGGCAGGAAGAGTTGTCCAGACACAGCAGGAGTGTGGGCACAGGTGGGGAGGGGCTGATGGGTCCGGATTCAAGTCTCAGCTTGAGAGGAAGTTAGGAAGCAGACCCAGTGGATGTGGTCACTGTCTGTGAATTATCCATCTTTGTGCCAGGGCCCAGCTCGGAACCACGGAGACACTGAATAAACGTGGATGAATCATTGTAAAAGTCCCAAATGGGGCAAGCTCTGCAGTGGTGGGACTCTGCCGTGAAAAGAGCAGAGATATACTTGGGACACAGGTGAGGGTTCCTTTGGCCCACAGCAAGGCGAAGACCAGAGAAGTGTCAGAGGACCAGAGGGAAAGCGATCAGAGGTGGGACAGGAAGGAAGGGAGGGAGGAAGGGAAGCTGGGCTGGGAAGTCTCAGGGCTGGAAGATCCTGGGTTAAGGGCAGAGCACTTGAGCAAGGTTTTTAAACCCAAGAGCAATGAGAGACACCTTCAGGGTTGATCCAAGGGCTCGAGCAGGTAACACGTCCGAACATGCTTGGTGAGCTGCCAGAATTCAGCGACTTTTATTCTGACAGGCAGTGCCAAGTTCTAACTTCTGCGGAAGGACCAAATGACAAGGTCACAGCTCTGGGGAAGAGGCGGTCCTGACTTCTGAGGTCTAGTCTTCTTTAGCAACAGGAAAATCCCCTACAGAGGCCCATAATTGTCCCAAGAATGGCTGCCAGCCTCTTGCGAGGACAGGACTGCATGGTGATCAGCTCATTACAAGGCATCAAAGTGCCCCGCGGGATGTGACCTCTATCTGCCATGGGTCCCTCCCCAAACTTTAAGGGCCCAGACAGACGCTGTCGGTCCCCAAGCTCTGAGGAAGCAGCGCATGTCCCGGGGGGCAAAGCCACCTGCCGAACAGCGTAAAGAAAAGGGTCGCTTGATTCCTAGCCTGTTCCTGCCTCTTGCTTCACACCCCTTTCCCAGACGCTCCATACTTCCATGGCCTTTTTCCAACCTGGTCCCAGGTAGGAAAAAAAGAGAGGGAGAGAGAATCCAGTTGTTCACCCCACCCTTACTCAACCGTATCGCCACTTAGGGCATTTCAGGTCCTAAAAGCCTTATCTTGGATCGCAGTAAGCCTCGGGGACAGGAATTGTCTTTATGTCCACCCACACAAAACAAAGCTGGCATCGATTTAAACTTTTTTCCTCCAAATTCCTCTTTGTTTACTTTACATCCTAGCTGTTACATAATCCTCACTCTTATTCTCACGCGTCTATAATTCTCCACTGCGTTTATCTAGGGCTTATAGTTTACGAAGTGCCTTGCCACATAAGAAAATATATATAATTTTCCACATAAGAAAATATGTTTATCTAACAGTAGGGAATAATCAGGCCAATCCATCGTATATGACTTTTCCTTCCAAAAAACTTTTTGGTGAAGGCCTGGCCAGGGCAGGAAGCTTCTAGAATTTACCTACGGTGACCAGGCTAGCACAAGTCCAGCAACATGGAATAGTGGAAAGACCCCCCAACCAGGAGTCAAAAGGTCTTTACTTGCGAATTCTCCTTACCCAGCTGTGGAAGGGTCCAAGTCAGATAATGCACTGATGGCGTTTGCAAACCTTATATTCACCTTATTATTATTAGCATCAGAGCCCCCCAAGGGTTTAAGCAGTGTTCCCCAGCAGGTGAAACAGGAGGGAGCCTACCACTGACTGTTCTCAGTCTTGAACGTGCCTGGACCCTGCTCGCCAAAGCAGCGAGCCAACCAATAGCATAGATTATGACTGCCTGGGCTGGCCCCCCTGGCTGGGCCTGTCCCAATGAGAGGAAGAGGTAAGAAGGTCAAGAGCTCCACCGGAGAACAAGAACCCATACAGTTTAGACAGCAAGAGCCCAACAGGTCAGCATGCCAGACTCCACGTAGAATGTGCTATGTCAAGCCTTCGCCCCTATTCCCCTTCCCAAGGTTCTCTATCTCCCCAGCTCACTGCCACCAAGAGAGGCCCCTTTCTTCTCTCCTTGACTTGCTCTTTTCCCTCTCACCCGTTTGAGTCCATGGGGCTCCTGCTGCATCATTTTTTGTGGGGTTTTTTTGGTGAGGAAGATTGGCCCTGAGCTCACAGCTGTGCCAATCTTCCTCTATTTTGTATGTGGGATGCCCGATGAGCTGTGTGTATGTAGGTCCGCTCCAGGGATGCGAACCCACTAACCCATGGCTGCCAAAGTGGAGCTCGGGAACTTAACCACTAAGCCACCGGGCCAGCCCAGTCTGCATCTGAGAGAAATGCAAAGATTTCAGACTGGGGGGTGGGGGACGCCGTGGGGCTGCTGTGTAATCGCAGAGCCACAGTTCGGTGTGGGTAGGATGGGCAGGCCTGGCTCTGGGGAGGCTGCCCGACCTTTAGGAGTGCAAGAACAGGCAATGGCATTCCTGGCAGGATTTAAAAACAGAGGACCATTGAGTTGACCGCCCCAGAGTAACCTCGGGTACAGCTGGACCTGTTGCCAAGGCAGCATAGTGCTGCTAAATCCAAGCGCCTCAAGATCCCTCTCGACCTGGGCTTTGCAAACTCCAGCCCTTTCTGCGTCCAGTTCCCCACCTCGGTCCCCAAGAACGCCGACCCCTGGGCTGGGTCCTGCTAGTCTTTGAAAGCGTGGGAACAGGAGCTACCAAGCGGTCCCTCCCAGGCAGCCATTGCGAACCTTCTTAGTCAAGAATCCAGGCAGGAGCGAGCCCTGATCGGGAACAAGGTTTCCTTCCCCGCCCCCTAGTCTGGCTGGAGAGTGAGGGACGCGCGCCGAGTCCCACACCTGGCTCTCTCCCGCTCCTTTCCGCGGCGCCCAGGGGCGGCCATCTTCCACCCTGGGGGCGCGAAAGCCCTAGGGCCCGAGTGTCCCCTTCGGGAAATCCCAGGCTCCAGGAGAACTCGCGGGATGGAGCGGACCGGTGGGTGCCAGTGCGTGCGTGGTAGATCCTGCACGGTTCTCTACGGTTCGGATCTCCACCGCGGCGCTGCCTCCCGGGCTCCAAAATCCGACCCCCACAGCAAATTGGGCCAGCTGTCCCAGGGGACGGGGATTCGGGGCGGAGGATGAGCGCAGCAGACACACTTTCCTTCCCTCCCGGGCGCCCCAAGCTCCATTCAGCGCCGGAGGTCTGTTTGGCGCCCTGGGACCCAAAGCTCCCGACTCCCGCCTGCAGCAGAGAAAGGTGGTGGAGAGCCCGCAGACCCTTACCGTGGCATCTTCCCCCGCGTAGTGCCCGATGACCCGGTGGCCCCCCGGGTGCCGACTGGACCATTTAGTGATGTTGTAGACCTTTCGGTCAATGACGAGCCACTTGTCGGTGCGCAGGTTGTGCTTCTGAATCTCTTCCCAGCTGAAGGTGGGCATGGGCGTCTCGCGCTCCGTGGCGCCCTCGCCCTGGTTCCCCCCCTTCCCCATGCTGCCTGCCGACCGGGATGCCCCGTGCGCCGCGGCCTCCCTGCGCCGGCTGCCGGTGTGTGCGGCCCGAGCCCTCCTCGCTTTCGGCTTTTGTCTTCTCCTACTCCTCCCCCCGCCCCCGCCCCCTCCCCCAGCCCCCTCGCCAGAGCTTGGGAGTATCCCTGCCTTCCCTCCAGAATATCCTTGGCTTCCCAGTGCCCCCAAGCGGTCCCCTTCCTCTGCCCCTCCCTCTGCCTGCCAGCCCCCTATGGACTTTTGCCTCGGCTAAAAACTCCCGGGTTGCTCAGGGCCTCGACGCCTCCTCCGCCCGCCCCTCCAGCTCCCCCCGCCCCTCCAGCTCCCCCCGCCCCCCGCCCGGGGCTCCGCATCCTCCCGCTTTCCCCACCGCCCGGGGTTTCCACAATGATCAGCAGAGCGTCTGCACCAATCGGGACGCGTCGCCCCGCCTGCCATTGGCCCAGGAGGATCTTTCGAAGGCCAGCGGGCTGGAGGAGCGGTCCCCAGCTCCCCCCGCCCGCGCGCCGTTGAGCCGTGCAGCTTTGCCAGCTACGTGTCGGACCTCCTCCCTCCCCCGGCTACAGCTCGGAGGACGGGGGATCCCAGCGGAGCAAGGCGGACGAGCGGGGGCGCGCACGCCCGGCGCTCGCGAGGTTTGCACCTGATGCCTGCACAAAGAGGGCTCGGCCGCGCGGCGTGCAACCGACGCGGTGGGCGGGTGGCGCCGAGCTCGGGGCTGCTGAGCTCCGCGCTGGGACTGGGTTGGCTAGGTGACGCCCTGCCCCTTCAGTATCTCCACGTAGTCCGCGCTCTCCACATTGGCGCCCTCCCGCAGCCTCCCTGGAGAAACGAGCCGGCCTCGGGCTGGTCCAGGTCTTTGACCCTGTAATCAGACGATCTTAGAAAAGAGCTGCAGAACCTCTGCTCTGCTTCCTTGTGCTAGGCACCATGGTGGTGGGAGGAGGGGGGCGCCATGGTGGGAGGAGCGGTGGGGGGGGGGGACGGGGGGCGCGCGACGGTGAACGAGACACGATCCTTGCTCTGGACTCAGGAAGCTCACAGCCTAGCTGGGAGACGGAACTTGGAAGCAATACAGGACCACATACGATTAAATTGGGCAGTGGTGGTGTACAGACTCCAGGAAATAAAGATGGGAGATATCGAAAGGATACGTGGAGGGGCAGGCCCCCAGACCCCAGCTGGATGCAGCTGCTTAGGATCAGTGCCCAGAGCGAAAGGGTTCGCCCAGACCCCTGGATCCGCAAGGCTGATTGGGGATAAGCGGGAAATAAGGATGAACAGGATTTGGGGGGAGGACGGCCTTGGGAATAAGAGGCCCCCGCATTTCACTGGGATGATTTCCAGGCCCCTGAGTGCGTTGGCACACTCTCCTCATTAGCATCTCACCCCAACCCTGTGAGGCGAAGAGGATCCAAATCCGTTATATCTCACTTAAACCTGGCAAGACTGAAGTTTAAGAAAGATGAACCGGCCAGATGTCCGTGGTTAGCAAGTGGCACAGCTGGGCCCCTTCCAGACAGCACACTGCCTCTTGGCTCATGAGGTCAGTGGAAAGGAACCGTTGTAGAAACTTTGCTGGGGAGCAACCTGATTCAGGAGTAGCAGGAAGATGGCCGGCCAACTGGGGGCAGGGGCTTGGGGGGAGGTATTCCCACAGTGGTGCACCTTCTCTAGAACCCTGGCATATCACTCTGATATCGGTCCCCAGCATCCTTCATTTATGCCACAGACTCAGACAGGAAGAGAACAAGGTCTCTCTGGCTTTGAAGCACGGGAACAGACCTTCAGACCAAAAAGCCTCGCTCACAAGATAAGAGAGGATGAAGCAAGCAGCCTGGGAGAATAAAGTGACTTCTATGCCTGTTAAATGTTTACTGAAATGATAACCCAGATTATTTTTTCAAAGGGGGGATTAACACAATACTAAATCTGAAATACTAATAGATGAAAAATTTTTTAGAAGTCGTGGCACTCTTTTAGAGCTCTTTTAGAAGGAGTGATATCTGAGAGGGAGACCCAGGGATTCTCTCACGGGGGAGCCTGGCAGGAGGAGAACAGAGCATGAAGGCCCTAAAAGGCAGCAGGCATATTTGGGGTGGATGAGAAATGAGGCACAGCCAGGGCGTGGGGGGTCTGAGCGGGACCCAGAGTAGGCCCTGAAAGACATTTGCTGAAGACACGAATGAATGAATGGATGAATAAAAGAACAGTGAAGAAGGGCTCCAACTTGCTGCAGGCAGGGTTCAGGTGGAAAAGCCTCTCATGGCTTGATAAGGATGGAGAACTTTATCCTGGAGGATCCTGGTGGGGTATTTCATAAAGCAGAGATGTGCTACGACCAGATTTAGGGTGTCAAAAGAGAACTCCGGGGGGCAAGTTGGGGCTGGGATGGGATCTAGGGGAGACACCCTGGAAGCAGCAAGATGAGTTCAGAGGCTACCACAACGCTCCTCCAGAGAGAGGAGGAGGGGGCTGAACTGAGAGAACCTCAGAAGGCTGGCGCCCACACCAGACACTGCCTTGCCCGCATCTGCCGTCTTCCTGATGTATTGTTTATTGTTCTCACTGCATGGGTGGACTGCTGAGGACTGTCCCCTTAGAGAAAACCCCATCGATACCAGCTGGCCCCGGAGTCACTTAGGAAAGGGAGTGAGCTCAGAGAGGGATGGGGTTCCCATGGCTTCCTCCTGCCCCACAGAATCCCCCCCACCGCCCCCACCGCCCCCAGCAGTACCAAGGACTGCAGCTTCCTGGGGATCTTGCCAGGACCACACTGTGAACATTGCACTTTATCAGAGACAAAAGAGACCAGCCTGGGTGGCTTGGAGCCCAGGTCCTCTCAGCCAGCCAAGTGGGTGAAAAGCTAGGCAGAGTGGGGAGGGGCTTGGGAGACAGCCTGGAGAGATGGAGCCCGTGTCATCAACCCCCACAGAATGGGCATCGAGAGGGGCTTTCCATCTCGTCCTCACAAGGAGTCTCTGATCTCTGCTGGTAAACTGACAGGGTCATGGAACCGAAGAGACGGGTTAATCAGAGGGAACTGGAAAGTGAAAGATGCCCAAAGGGAGCAGCCCCTGGAGCAAAGAGAAAGAATCAGATTCTAAAAGAGCACCTCGTGGGCAGAGGACCAGCTGGCTGAAGCAAAATGCTCTTTCTGGCACTTTCTGTAACTTCCTTTCCTTGGGTGATAACTAGGGGCCAAGTCACCCCTAGTTTTTAAAAAAATCTTCAAAGTCAACTTTTTCTCAAGACGTGGCCCCAATCTCTGACGGTCCATTTATGGTTGAATTTTCTGAAAGTATAGTCAACCCTCCCTGGGTCTACTTTCTGTCTCCTGTTCATTTCTTGGATCATTACAATCTTCTCCAATTCTAATAGTAGTGATGACAACCCCTCCCATTAGCCTATCAGGTTAGGGCATGTAAAGGACTCTCCTATGGGGGGAACAAGTCCTTGGCACAATGCCGGCTACAGAATAAGCTTTTGGCAGCTGGTGGTTCTTAGCCTTTCCGCTCCTGAGCTCATCCTTTGCAACAAGGCCAAAGGTAGGTATCGTTACTGCATCTTTGTGGATGAGGACACGGACTCTCAAGGTCTGGCCCCTCAACGGGCAGATAGTAGACTGATTCCTAGAACACAAACCCCAGACCCTGCTCCCATCAAGCCTTCTAGAACTCTCTCTGAAAGGTCATGAGCAAGTCCAGTCGCCCCTTCTCAGGCCTCCAAGAGGCATCCGGGAAGCCAACATCCCTCGCCTCTTGCAATGCCATGCTCCCTTGGTTCTTTGACAATACATGATCCCAATTCTACTGCTGGCCCACCCCTTTTCTGCCTCCTCCATTTGTTTCTCTTCCTCCTCCTCCCCTTCTAAATGTTCTTGCCTCTGGCTCACTCAGTATTTTCTCTTTCAGGGACCCATTTGGAATGACTCTCTATCTGGACTCTACATCCACTCACCTCCTCCCCATGCAAAGCCGAATGTCCCGCTAGCACCTCAAACACAGTGGAACCTCCCTAAGTCAAGGGGCTCTTCTCACCAGATGTGTTCTTTGGGCCTCTCCAGGTCTAACCTTCACAGTGTCTGGTACAAAACTGAATCTGTCATCCTCCTTTCCAAAAATCAGCCCTTCCTTTTAACTTCTTCATTTCTATTAATGGCACCACTCTTCTTCCTGTCACTCAGTCTCAGAATTTCAGAATGTCTCTTACTTCTCTTCTCTTGCCTCCCACCCTTTCCAAAAAGTTGTGTTCGCCACATTCTTCCTCTCTCAAGTGTTTGCCAGCGGCCCCTTTTATTCCCTTGAGGGTCCCCAACGCTCAGCCATTGCATGCACTGCTGCCGTGTCATTTTGCTAAGCCCAGCTCCTCTTGAGACTTCTCCTACCCCTGCTTAATTCTCGTTGCCTAGTGAATTAAGCAGGGGTGGGGCAAGGAAGGAAAACACGTACATATTAATTGTGTTCCCCGAGGACATTTGCCTTGCCTGCAGCTCCAACCCAAAAGGCTAAGAAAATAGAGGATGTCATCAGAGAGGATGCCGGGAGGGGAAACTACCTTATTTTTGCCCAAAATCATGGCAGGCACATCCCAAGTAGTTCTGATCTTGAAGCCAACTAGTGACTAATGAGACGGATGTCTTACTGCAAAGGATGCTCCTCATTAGTCTGCAGATTGCAAGAGGAACAAGAAATAATGAAGGGCTAAGGGGCAATCAGACTTGATCGCTAAATCCTTGAACACCAAAATAAGAGGCGCCTCCTTGAGACCTGAAGAGGAGAACTGACGCAAGGAGGCACATAAAAAAAAGGCTTACTTTATCCAGGGGAGCAGTGTAGCAAAGAACAGAGGATGCCCGTTCCGGAACACTCAGGCAATCCGTGCCTGGTGGGGAGTGTCTAATATTGGATTCTCACATCAGATAAGATCATTGCGCACTTTTATAAGTGTCCCTCTGAGGCCCTGTCAGGAAAGGACGGTGGCAT